TGGACAGAGTGGTGTAGCTTTCCTCTCACTATCTAAATAAGGTCCTAACAATGTTATCACTTTTCAAAACACATCTGTCCCACAGCTCCTAGCCCAGACAATTGGCAGGTAACCAGTTAATAAATGTCTTCGCCAGACTGTTGAATAGGCTGGCCCCAGCTCAAGAGTGATGTCAGGGCCATTCAATGCACTATAATTGGAAAAACCTGGGGAAAGCAATCCTGTGTTTTTTAATAAATAAAGAGTGTATTAGCAGCCTCCTACTTTTATTCACCACGGTGTCTACCTTGTTCGGTAGCAAAGTGGAATTTTTTTTCTGCTGCCACCCGCTCAGTGATTTCTACTTGGAATTTGATGCCAGTTTCCAGATGCGTCTCAGGCCAGGAAGTCAGCAATCAGCCTGGATAAAGCCTCTGGGATTAGCTGCAGATCATCTTCTGACACACACATCCTTCCTGCACCCTCTCTTATGAAATTGGGGCACACCCCTTGTGCCCAAAAATAAAATAAAACAACCCAGAGCCAAGCAAAAGCTCCTGATTAGGATGCTTTGATCACTTTCATATTAAATATGTGGGAATATATTTAATTAATTCAATCCATCAAAGCCCCCAGGGCAGGGTTTGAGAGATCTTTACAACACCAGAGTGTTTACATACACAAACCACTTTAAGAATTGCAGGTTCCTTGTCTGCTGGAGCAGCCCCAGGTGAAGCTCAGTTCCCACAGCTCCTCACCAGTGGTACCCATGGGAGAGCATCAGCTCCCCCGCCTCGGCCGCAGAATGCCTGAGGGGGATGAATCCTCCAAAGGACCTACCCTCAGAGTAAGAAGTGAGGATGAGAAATTAGTTTTCTGGGCTCTGTGTGAGCAACTTTGGGAAGCTAAAACCCAAGTGGGTGACATGAAGGATGTGGTTTGCATGGAAAATAATCCCAAGCAGAAGCATCCTGACAGCAACATGCCTTTCAAACCTCCCTTCATCCCCGAGAAACGAACTACCCAGGTCTCCTAGCCAGGAGCAGAGGGATTCAGCCCCACGCAGCCGGGGTCCAGGCTCGCCCCAGCCATGAGGTACTGTCTGCTTCAGGACAGGGAGGGCCCCAGCCCAGGGGGACCCAATTATTGAATGCCCAACAAAATCAGTTATTTTTTTTTCCCCCCAGGCATTTTAGAGGCTGTTGTTGGGCCCCTTTTGCTCATCTTGTGATTCTTTTCATCTCCCCAACAAAGCATAACCAAATTAACACCAGCCCTCTCCCCAGTAATCACCCCCCCATGCACTCCCGCAGCCGCTCTGCTTTAACCGGGCACCTGAGCGCCACTGCCAAAACAGGAAAGCAGGCGCCTAATTGAAAGGGAGTATTTGGGAGTCACCCTACACAAAAATTAGCAGAGATATGCTAGGAAAATAAAAGAGTGGGCATTAACAGTAGGCTTATCTTCTTTTTCCGTGACTCTAATGTTCGGGACGTGAAGAGGCCAAAAAGTTTCACATACTGTTCTGAGGAGCTGGTCACGGAGAGGAGCATCCTCTCCTTTATGTTCACTGCTCCTCCCAAAATAACTCAGGCTGATTTTTAGGTATGGACCTCCAGAATTAAAATGCAAACATACGCAAGCCAAGAAACCCTTGCATTGCCTTAGGCAATTGGTGGTAAGCCCTGGGTCTTGATTACGGGTTGAGAACTTGAGCGATGCCTAATTTCAATTCACCTGTGTTAGCTTTGGTAAAAACAGTAAGCTGTGCCTAGGAAGAAGGAGAATATGGATGTTTTCCATTCCAAGGAAGGAGCACGAGGGTCTCTGTTTCTGGAGGTGGGACTGAACTTTAAGACGAGTAGCCAGAGACGGTTCAACGAGGCTGGTTTTCAGACAGCACAGGGAGCCCCTCTCCTCATTACTCACCCCTGGTCAACATCCCAGCCTGGGACTGTGACCCGTCCCCAGGGAAAGCCAGAGCCAAGGGGAGGATTTAGGATTAACTCCAAAAAATCAGCCAGTCCCACCCCACCCTGCAGGCAGCCTACGGAAAGGAGCAAAAGCCCTTGGGGCCAGGCACAGGGATGCTGCAGCCTGGCAGGGAGCAGAGGGGTCGGCAGCATCTGGACAAGTGACCCAGGGCATTCCCTGTCTGCTGGAGCTGCTCAGATCCTCCAGCCCCAGCTCCAGGCTGTAGGATCCCAGTTCTCGGAGTGGGAGCAAGCCACAGCAATAGAGAGAAAAAAAGGAAAGAAAAAAAAAAAAAAGGAGAAAAAGCAGCGGGAAGCCCTGCTGAGAAGCCCCCTTTTGTGTAAACACGCTCCGTCCTCAGACTAAAAATAAAGGCAAACCACAGGAAGGGAGTGAGTGCTTGGACAATATCCGATTTGGTGTGTGCCTGGGTGTGAGCTGAGGGAATGGAGAGAAGAGCAGGGGACTCCACCCAGTGCAACCACACAAAGGCAGCCGTTTAAGACCTTCAAGATGGAATTCCTGGAGATTATTTAAATCCAAATAACTGCTGCTTGGCAGATGCGCAGTCCTTTGGTATGTGCGCAGCACTTGGAAATGTTAAGTGAGGGAAAAAGGCTGCCACGGCAGGAGCAGGAAAGGCAGGATGACTGCACGAGGCCCATTTTACAGGTTCAGAGACTGAGACCTGATGCTATGAACTGAAACCCCACAAACCTGTCACAAAACAAGGAAGCAACCCAGCCAAGATGTCAGTTGAAATCTTTCCAGCTCACAGGTCCATCCTCAAAAATTACCTCTCCTTGCACTCTGCCCTTCGCATCTCAGTCACCGCTGCAGCCAAAGAACCAAACCCAAAACAACTGCACACACGTAAAGGCTGCGGAGAGCTGATCAGTTGACTGCCCACCCCAAAGGGGTCTCAAATGCTGCCCCAAGTGCTGGGCTCAGATGCACCACACCCCGTTATTGCCATCAGCCGATTCTCAAGGATGGAGCTTCACCGACACCTGCACGTCCCACCCGCAGCATCCTTGCAGGAGGGATGCTTTGCTGACGGTGCAATTGCACCCTAGAGACAAGCATCCACCCATACCATGCAGAAAGCTTGCAAGACGAAGCGAGGAGGTTTCTTGAAGCCCAGCGCTCACCGTTGGTGCTGACACACCACTCAGAGGCCTTCTGGGGAAATGCAGGACTTGAGAGGAACCAACTGTTCAGCCTGGCTCAAAAGAGTTGTCTCGCATGGAAGTGGTCTGTAAAAGCAGAGAGACCGGCAGCTCTCCCCAGCCAGCCTTACGGCTGCAGGTCCCACCATACGGGCAGTGCTGCTCTGCCTTTGGGGCTTAGATCTGGCCACCATCAGCCCAATGTTCTTCCACTCACTGGAAAACCTTCCTCTCTTTAGCCAGCTACGGCTAAACTGCAGCATCTGCAAGGCTCAAATGCCTCGTTCCCTTCCTTTCTCTATTTTCTGTCAGAAGAAAATGACATAGTGCTTGGCAGCGGAGGAACTCAAAGACGACTACGTTGACCTCAACTTGGGCATGTTTCCTGCTGCCGTTTGTATTCCTCTAACTCTCTCCTCCTGGTCCCACGTTCACTTTCCTACCATCAGGTCTCACCCCGAATATTCATTTTCTCTCTATTATTAGAAAGGTCTCTAGGTCCACATTAAAGGTCTCCTCCAAGCACAACCGAAATGCAAACCCTCCCTGTTTCCTTTAGAAAACAACTTCCTATGAAACGCAGCTGTTTGGAGCAGGTCTGCAAAACACGCTGCACTGAGCCCAACCGTCCTCGCTTCGTTCTCATTTGCAAGTGTCTGCTGAGACTTTTACCGACTTTCATTTGGAGCATTTCTTACAGGCTAAATATAAAACACAAACACCTTTCCACAAGGTTCTTTCCAAGAGGGGAGAACCTGCTGGTGCAGCAGCTTCTGTTCCCACCCCACCGCCCTTGCATGCCGTACTGGCAGCACAAAATAACACAGCAGCACACAACAACACAGCAGCTCAAAAAGATAGCTGTGCCATCGGTGCTACCAACACCTACGTGACTCGCCTCCTGCCGCCCAGCTCAACAGCTGAATCCCAACTGTAAATCAAAACTGAAGATCTTTCCTTTAAATCAACTTTAGCAGGTCACTTGCAACTCCCTAAGGTGCCGCTGGACACAGGGGAAGCCAAGAAAAAGGTAACACCTCCTGTTTACTCAGCTAATTACACTTCATTATTGCTGGAGTGGCCGCTGAAGCACTCATGGACCCCTTCCACCCCAACTCCCCACGCCCTGAGATGTGTTTCCCTGCAAATGCCCCTCAGGGATGAGGATGGAGGAAGGGGAAGGGGAGTCGGGGTGCAAGCAGGGCTGCAGGTGGGAGCCCTGAACCTCTGCCTTGCCCAAGCTGGAGCAGCCACCGCAGGCCGAAGCCAGGCTGGGGAAGGTTAGCAGGGAAGACTCGCACCCACGGCTCCTTGAAACCCCAGCAGTCGCCTGCCCCTGCCCACCCAGCTCCCTCCTCGGCTCTCCAACGTGGCCCTGGGCAGCAAATCCAGTGGAGTGCAGCCCGGAGCCAGCGCTGGTGGGACAGCTCACCACAGCCAGCATCTAAGTGACCTCAGGGATCTCTGGGGAGAAGGTCTCCTTAATGCAAAGTCACAATCCTTCGTTTTCATGGGCACAATGCTTAACGCAGAGTTAGACAGCAGAAGGCTACAAGGAGCAACTCCAAAAGCAGCTGCTCTCCGTTGTTAGAAAACCTCCGAGTGCAATACAAGTATAACAAGTGTGCACACTGAGAGCTTGATTCCTGAGGTTAAACATCTAAACTAATAAAGCATCTTCAGTCGTGCTCTGGAAACACTTAGTCCTTGCAAAATTATGGCTTGCCTCCAAAAGACTGATACCAAAGGACAGGGCACACAGCTGGAAGCACTGAACTCTACCTCTGCCCAGATGTGTCACTTCACAAAGACACCCAGGGAGGAAACCCCGGGGGATTACCACCTCCTGACCCCAATGTGATGAACGCCCAGTTTTACCTGGATCAAGGTGTGTAAAGGACCCGATGACAAAGTCCAGCGTCGAGACAGCCAGTAGGAAGAGCAGCAGGAGCTGGAGCCTGATGATCCACTTCACCCCAGCCAGGTTGATCCCCAGCAGGCCCAGCAGGACAGCCAGGGAGATCCCACGCACTGCCCAGATGTTGCTGAGGTTCAGGACATCCGCAATGGACTCCGCAAAGCCAGTGATGTACATGGCACCTGCAACGCACTGAAGGACAAGAGCTCCATGAGTGCCTCGTGGGAGAACAAGGGGTCTCCATCCACAGACCCCATGCCAGGCTGGGGGGTCTCTGTTCAGACAGACAGCTATTTGCCATCACAATACAACCTTTGATGTTACTCTGGCCTGCAGAGACTGAACCGTATCACTGAAAGACAGCACACTGCCAGGGCAGCACACCTACTGCCTGCCTAAACTGGGAAGGCTGGGAACTAGGGCCAGCAGCCCAGCAACTTTCCACTGGCTTTAAAATTTACCCCCCATTAATGCTCCAGAAGAAACTACACTGGCTTCTCCAAGGGAGAAAAGGATGAGTGAACCTCTAAGTCTCTTCCCCTCTCCTGTTTCTCTGAAGGGAAGGGTCCCAGTTCAACACCTGCCTGAAGAACAGCAGTTTGCTTCTCCCTTCATTGCCTCCCAGAAGCTATTTTTAACTCAGTGTTTGGTTTGGATGTAAAGTCTGATGTTTCACCGGCTCCCCATCTCGTTGCTGGAACACAGCCTGCACTTTTGAGGAGAGCGCATTGTGCAAACCATGCCTCCTGAGCTGCCGGGAAAGCTGCTTGTTTGTCTTGCTGCAGGGCAGGACACGCACCCTGCCCTGCGTGGCTGAGAGTCGGCAGGGTGGGACATCTGCAGCACAGGTTCAGGCCTCAAACCCTGCTGCAGGGCAGCAAGCCTAAAAACCAGGACATTTCCCTCCAGAGGTTCTCACTAGCTGACATTTCAGCAACAACCCTTTCCAGTGCAGGGCATCCTCAGCAAACCAGGTCAGGGCACATGGCTGCATGCCAGCACGAGTGGTGTGACCTTGGGTCCTGCGACCCCACCTTCCGCATCCACAGACGACCAGGGATGTGCAGCACAGCTCCCACACAACTGGAAGGGAGAAAATCCCCAGCCAAGCCAGCAAGAGTCTGAGCAGACCCCTCCTTCACCACAGATCCCCCGTGGACCAACCCAGCACCGCTCTACTGAGGGTGCTCAGGACAACCTGACCCATAACCAGGAGCTGCGGGTTCATGCGTGGTTTTCGGCAAGCAAGGTGCGTGGGATTCACCTGTTCAGATTCGGATACCTACAACTTGGAGATCCTGAAGGATTCACATCCATCATAGGCAGACACCTAGCACAGGCTGGGTGAACTACACCCTGAAAGTTTCTCTTTCTCCTCACTGCTAGCCCCACTGTGAGTGTCTCCACTAGAGAAGTCTCAGACTCTGTAAGGTAGTCCTTAAATAAGTGGATGTATTCTCTTTTACTTGTGTTTCACATGGTCTACACCACCACCAAGTGGACCACGCACGTCCTACATGGGTGCTCTTTCCAGAAGACAGGTCCCTCCTGAACTAGCAGAGGACAACACCCCGCACCAGCACAGCTGTGCTTAGGGCACCCACAAAAACTGGAGATCTAAAGCCAAAAAAAGCCCGAACAGAATCTAACTTTGATAAACGCATTAAAACCAGGTGCAGTTCTTGCCTCTCAAATGAGGAAAATCCCTGCAGACAGAAAGCAGTATCACCATCACCTAACCCAACCTCCTGTACCTGACCAACATCAGTTTTTGAAGAAGTTTTCTTAACTAAATTTTCTTTCCTTCCACGTCAAGGACAGCAATATGCAAGGACACTCTGAAGGGAGTAGAGTGGAGCAAGCCTCTGATAGTCTCAGCACCACAAGCTTTCTTGAAACCTTCTCTCTGATGGACCATGTGCACCACACGCAAACAGGAGCTGGGTGCCCACAAACACCCCACTGCTCTGCACACAGCAATGACCAGGACCCCAGCGGCACCGTGACATGGGCTGGTTTCTCGTGGACTACCTGTCTTGAAATCAGAACTGAGTTCTAGGTTGAAATTTGCAGAAATCAGTCCCTTACGAGCCTTTGTAAACCACAGACTTTCCTGGGTGAGGAACATAATTGATTTTCAACACCCAGACAAGCACTGCCGCTACCTTTACTTTTGGGTTTTTAGGGCTGGAACCTGGAAAACCTCTGCTTGCACAGACAGGTCTTACTGCAAAACATTCCAGGAAAGGAGACTGCGGAGAAAAGCACCAAACCCCAGCCTCATGGTTAGAGCTGTAGTGACCAAACACGCATCACTCTCCATAGGACCTAGCAGATGCGTGCTGCATCGTTTAGGGTAATGCCATTAAGCCTCTCCTCTGGAGCATCCCAGGAGGACAGCAAAGCCCAACTGGGTCTCAGCTCACCTTGGCCGATGCAGCGGGAGCCCACCTCTGGAGCAGCGCCAGGGCACTGAGCCACCTCTCGTTTCCCAAGGCATCAGCAGCACATGGCCAGTCACTCCCCACTTGCCCCACTCAGACCAGGGAATGGGGAATACCCCCATTTCTATCCAGACTCGCCTCATGACACAGCGCTCCGTGAGCATCTTGGAGCAGCCCGCAGCTGGTGCAAAGCACGTTGGACGGAAAGCACAGCCAAAGGGAAGGGAAAAGCATCAGATTTTGAGAGCAGGCAAAACGTTCCTAAGCGAGCTGCCAGCTCCCACCCCGCAGCCCCCCATGCATACGGGATGCCTGGGCAGGGGCCGGGGCTGCCGCAGCCCAGCTTTTACAGCCCTCAGGACAGGCTGCAACCTAATTGCTTTCCCAGACCTGGTCCACTCAGAGAGCGAGAGTGGAAAATATGACAGGAAGGATTCTCATGTGTGGCCCATTTCCATATCTTGGCTTGTAACTGTGTTCAGTCTGTATTTTATGGACACTTGCTTTTAATCTGGAGTGAAAGGAGAAGAGGGGATTATTTTTGGTTTGGGGTGTTTTTAAGGGTTTTCGGAGACTGCTGCAAGCCCGTCAGTTAAAAACAAACCTCAATAAAAATGCTTCTCTGCTCGCCACATTTTACACTGTTCATAACATCTTTATGGGAGGAGGGGGTTAAGTTACTGCAGGTTTAAGAGATTACGTTCCATTCTTTATGTTTAGTACTTGTGTATTTCAGTGCTTCACCACCATGACGACTCCTTGGGGCCTTTCAGAAACCCCAGAACTGTGACTTTTGGATCTCAATAAGTCAATTAGCTGTGGCCCTTACCACTGCCCAGCTCTCCTCCCGTAACAGCTCCACTTCTGCTGGCTCCCGCAGAGAAGCAGCCAAGGCTTGCCCAGTCCCTAAGGGTACGGGGAGCCTTCCAAGGCCAAGGTCAACCTGCCAGCCCACAGCTGCTCGCTGTGCTTTAGGTGGACACTACAGTTATTCCTACTTTGGTTTAATTTCAGTCGTTCGTCAGCAAGGGCATGTCCTGGCAACAGGGGTAATTTGGGATGGGAAGGCATGTCCTGCACGGTTCCCTTGTTCAGACACCCAGTTCCTCCACTGTTGTGACCCTTGCCAAGCGGCACATTGCCATGCACAGGCTTGCTCTTGGGGAGCAGAGCGGGGCTGAATGCTCCCCGTGGTGCTCTCCCATGCTGTCCAACACAGCGGAGCATTACTCAGATTTTACTTGGAGCATTACTTCCTGTGGCAGGAAAGCACAAGATTAATAGCTGCATTGCAAAGTTTCTAAATTTTCTTTAAGTAACTTTTTTTTTTTTTTATTACCTGGCCAAAAATATAAAGGAGGCCAATGGTCCCCCCTACTTGACCTCCAAGGACAGTAGAAATCATGGAGTAGACTCCTCCACTTCCGATGCTGCACTTCTCACACACTCCAATTCCAGATAAGACGGTCACCAGGGCAACCAGGATGACAAAGGACACCAGAAACATGCCCATTACAATGCCAGTGTTTCCCTGGAATGAAAAAAAAAAAAGAAATTTCAACTAAAGATTTACTCACACCAACTCTGCTGAGACAGAAAAAGGACCTATCCACTTGTAGTCACTAGTGATCCATGAATCTGGAGTCATTACAGATTAAAACAAAAACACACACACACTTCTACTTATCTAATTAATGGGACTGATTGCCAAATTTACAGTTCCTATTAGTGTCCCTTTGAAGAAGACCTGCCTCGTCCTGGGGCTGGATGGACCTTTGCATGAGCAGGTTCTGCTCCATCACCAGGCTCCTGCAGAAATCACTGATTTTGTCCTCTGGTTTAAAAAGAATGAGGTCAAACAATGATTCAGCCACCACAGGCAGGGGATCACCGCTTATTTGCATGTTTTAGAATGACATGCTTAAAAAAACCCCACTTTCATAACAAAAAGTAGCTTCAAAATTGAACCTCTGGGATTTGCGACAGCTGGTTTATTAACAGCATCAAGCTCGCATTTTAATTTTTCAGAACCTTTACCTTTAAAAGCTCTGATCCTCCCAAACAATGAGATACCAAAGAACAAAACCCCAAAGGCGACACGGCATGGAAGACAAATAACACTCTCATAAACCAGCGCACGCTGGCCCTTATCTGCAGGACGTACGCCGAGTGGCAGGTGGCTCTCGCTCTCCCTGGACTCGGGGGAGTTTTATGCAGAGGATTGAGCCTCGTTAAAAAAAAAACAAAACCAAAACCAAAACAACCAACCCTTTCTGCTTGGGGCAGAGGTAAAGCCCCAGAAAGAACTGGTGCACCAGCCATGGTCTCGCCGTGGGGTGAAGAGCAAAAGCCTCTGAACAAGCCCAGCTGCAGGTCCCTGCTGGCAGCGTAACCCCTATTTTTGGGGGTTCAGTTTGCCATTTAGGTTGGATTTTCAGAAAGAGAAGGCACTTAGTACCTCCAAAAGCATTTAAGCACCTCTGCTGAGCTTGGGACCTTCCAACTCTCCCGCACGTGGCTGCAATTTATTTTCCAGGGTCAAAAGTTTTCCCTCGTGCTCCAGCCCACCCTCCCCTGCTGACAAATTGCTCAGCCTGGTGCACAGTGATTCCAACCATAAGACCAGTAACCTCCTCCAGTGCCCAGCGCTTCGTTAGCATCTGGCTTCCCTTTCCCTGCCTTTACTCCTACCACAGGCCATGTCCATATCCCTCCTTTCCAACCTTGCTCCAGCAATGCTCATTTCTGAGGTCATGCTAGCCTTGATGGGGTTTGTTTATCACCAGCACTAAAAGGTTGCTTCTCATCTTTGGGGTTGGTTGAAATCCCAGATTTTTTTTTTTTCTTTTCTTCTTTTTGTGAAACAACAGAAACATATCCAGGATGTTGATATCATCACAAAATCCTATTTTGGTTCAGCATCCCACTGCCTTTGACAGGGGGGTTATCTGGTCACTGGAGAACAGAGTCAAGGTTTGCTATAAATGCAGCTCTGGCTGGATCAGCACCACAGCCCACTACAACCCGATACTCCTTTTTGAAAGGGCAATTGTTCTTTTTTTCCAACAGCTTACCCTCAAGTTAAAATGGTTAATAAATCTGACATGCTTCAGTTAAAAAAAAGAAAAAAAAAAGCAAACATAGCAAACATACACATAGCCTTGGGCTTTTCCAGAATCTGCTGGTGGCACCAGGCTATGGCAGCAGCTAATTAATGGGCAATTCAACGGTTCCCACAGAAGAACGGGTTAATACGAAGATCAGGGAGGAAGCGTGGACTCGCAGCAACAATAACAAGCAGAGAAAGTGGGAAGAAAAAGCCCTCATTAAACACTGATGCTTATTTATGCATGCGTGCTGGAAGGGGTTAGTGCAGCGTTACAAGAGTTGTTGAACATTTCGGCTTGATTAGGGTCCCCTGGAATTGCAAGGCTTTACCAGCCCCAGCTCTGGAAATTTATAGCAAAAGCCTGACTCTGCGAACAGCTCGACATATGACTGTCCTCTGCCAGGGGAGCTCTCTGCCAACCCTGACTTCTCCTCCCTTCCCTTTTATGCTAGCTTCCAGCTGTTTCAGTTTTTCTTTTATTTACTGGCTTTATTTTTATTTGCATTTGCTGCAGCGGTAACTTGCTTTCAAAAGAGACACAGAGGAAATAAGATCAGGAGGAAAAGGGAGCTAGGAAAATCATCCTGACTTTTCCACCATGATGACTGCAGCTCTCCTCAAAGCCTCCAGCAAACCAATTTTCAATAAAGAGTGCAAGTGTCTTCCTGCTCCTTTTGGAAGATGTCCACCATGACTGTGACACCAACTCTGCCTGAAGCTCAAATCCCACCCGTCCCTGGAGGAGCTTTCCTTCTTCTAAGGGGGAATTTTAAGGGACAATACAATGTTTTGCATCAGGAGGGGAGCAGAGACACTCTTCCAGGCTCTGACCCTCAGGGAGATACTATTCTGGATCCACAAGTGGAAGCTCCTTTGATAGTGACGACAGTTTCATCTGTCTGAGGACTCTCCACTCAAGACGTTGGGGACTCCAACACTGGCACGTTTGGAAGAGACTCGCTTCAGTGGTGTTGGGAAGATGGCCGAGTAGCTGTAACCACCGCGATACGTTTTACCTGAAAAGCAGCTGTTTTATCTCAACAGCATAACACAAGTGTGTCCCTGTTCATGGTCAAGGTTGGTTGTTGTGTTTTTCTCTTTCTTTCCTAAAGCTAAAATAGGAAACCACTTACAAAGACCACTTCAGCTTTACATTTTAGTGGAACTTTTTGAAACGCTACAAAATACCAGAGGATGTAAGCAATGCCTACAATGAACAGCACAGAATCCAAAACACTTGGGTGGTGATGGAGATACAAGGTAAGGAGGTGAGGAGGAAAATGCTTGTTCACACATTCAACTAAGTCAGCACGCACTCACCACAAGCCATCCCGTCCTCAGGAAAAGAACCACTCCAAAAATGTTGATCATGCAGGAGGTGAAGACGCCATCCCACGTTCCAAAAAGCACTGGCTCCCACACAAACAGCTGGATCTTCCACCAGGGCTTGGTCTGTGTTTGAGATACCTAGAGAAAAGCAAAGTCTTCAGTTTTACCTCTCATGTTTTACAGGCAGGCTGCAGAAGTGATGCAACAGCTAGCCACCAACAGCAGGATGGCCACCAACAGCGGGATGGCCACCAACAACTGCTAAGACACCGCTTTGCTGCAAGTTGTCTCTAAGATGAAGGGACAGCAGAGCTGTTGGGATCCCTGGGCCCTGGAAGAGAGGGTTCCCTGTAATACTCTATATTGTTGTAGGAGAAGCAGCAACAGAATCCTACTGAGTCTCAGCAGACCCCGTTGATGACATTACATGAACCAAAAACACCATTCAAGGGTTCTTTTACAGAGTCTGCAGCTATACATTGTGCTTCTCCTTCTGGCCCTGCTAAGCACCCCACCAAGACAAGCAAGGTCCTTGGTGCACTGGAGAAGTCTCTTAGATGAGATGACAAACCAGGCTGGACAAACTGGGACTGACAGAGTAGGTTGAGATGGTCTTCCCATCACACACAGTCATCTCTGATGCAGACACTGTACTTGAGGCACCAGTGAATTTCAGAGCTGCTGGAACTGAGACCTGAAACTCCAGGGAAACTGCAGTCTTCCTATCGCAACTGCTCCTTCCTGCCCTCTGGAAACCAAGATCCTTCTTTCACTTTCTAAATCATGCACCTCAGGTTTATGCAGCAAAAAGAAGGGCAGTTTTGTTACTTCAGTCCTGTTTACCTGCCACAGAGGCCACCAGGAAGAGGTGCAGAGACCACAGAGATGGAAGCTTGGGCTATGAAAGGAATCGGCTCTTTGACATACCTGCTGTGCTTCCTCATGGAACAGCTCTTGGACATATCCCTCACTTCTGGCACCATTCAGGCCGAACATCGTATCCTTCGCGTTGCCTCCGCCTGCCCAACGCGCAGCTCTAACACTAGAACAGGCGAGGCTGATTGGAGCAGAAGGTCAGCTCTTCTCAGTCAAATTCCTGTGGTGCTGGATCCTTCGTTGTAGAAGATTCATGGTTTTATTGCACTTTACTGTGAAAGTAGGAAAGACAGAAGACGCGACTGTTGCTTCCCTAGTCTGCAGAAGCACAAGGCTATTACCCAGACGGAGCCGACAGCGGCTCGTAGCAGATGCTGAACCACAGAGTGACATCGCAGCAAGCAGAGAGCAATACCCCCCCACCCCGCCCCAGCACCCTCCCAGGGCCTGCCTGCGGCACAGGCTCTGTCATCAGCCCTACATTTAATGGCCCTTGGTGGCCTTTTCTGAACCTATCCACACCCCTGGCGTCCCCAGCATCCTGCAGCACTAGCTCCACAGCTTCACCGTGCGCTGTCTGGGAAATGTATTTCCTTTCATTGGTTTTAAATCTGGTGCCTGGTAATTTCATTGCATGCCCCTGTGCTCCGGTGACGTAGGACACATGAACTATTTACTTCCCAGCATCACTAATCACCTCACAGCCTTGAGCACATCCCTTTCAGCTGTACCTTTTGCAGACTAGAGTCCTGCCGATGTAACCTCTCCCCTGACAAGCGACCTCATTATCCCGCTCTGCCCCTCTTCCAGTACGACACGGAGATGGAACTGGAGCAGCTGAAGGTGTCCGCCACCACAGACCCACACTCTGCATTCCTGATGCTCTCACCCACATCCCCTGCACTGACATACAGGAGCCTTTCTTCACGGTCATACCCATCCTTGGAGGTACAGTCATCTCCTCTGCAGTGGCCTGACTTCAGATTTGTACCTGCCACAGGCAGACTCTGGCAGTGCATCAAGCTTAATTCAACACCATGTATGTACCAAGAAAGCAGCATCAGGCTTTATTTCAAGGATAACTTAGCACATCTTTACAGAAGGGTAAAGCTAGCACAAGCATTTCTGCCTCAAAATTGCTGGTTCCTTTCCTCATTGGGGTGGTTTTTATAGGAAGTTCTCCCTCTAATTGTGGAGGGCTGCTTTTATACACCTTCCTCCAGCTGGCTGCAAGTCAGCTTGGATGATCTTGTGATGGCCATCAACCCATTACCGACAGTCTCCCATGCCAACTGCCAACAGAGCCACTCTTCAGCACAGCTACACCATGCGTAGGTAAGACAAAGAGGGCTGCAGCCAGAGCGAAACAAGACATCCTCCACAGATGTCGAGAGGGCAGTTTGGATGATTGACTCTCTTGGGGCTGATAGTTTCCTGTCCAGTTGAGCTCACATGCTGACAAGAACCAACCATGATCATGCAAGGCTTGTGTCAATGGCTGCACACTTTACCTGAAACCAGAGACCAAATTTATCACGAGCGCAGTGTAGGAATCTCTGACTCCTCAAGTCTGCAAGCTAGGGAGACAAGAAAACCGACAGAAATGTGCTTTTTCCTATTGCACAGGGACAGAGATATACAAAAAACTACTTTGGGTCTCTCAGGATTTCTGCATCAGGGTCTGAATCCCAGCTCCCAGATCAGTACTTTCACCATCCTGCCTTTATTATTCGACTTTTAAATATCCAATAATAAATAACCAATGCTGCCGTTACACCACCACGGCATTTCAGCTGCAGAAGGTCTCCTGCAGTTGGGCTACAATGGCCAGCACGGGAGGTTTTTCTTCACCCTCTCCACGTGGCCAGTTAAGCAGCACCAAAGCCGTAACAGTTCATTGATTCCCCGCTGCTCCCTCCCCTTTTTTCGAAGCAAAATAACCCTTCACGATATCACAAATGGCTGCTGTTACAGGGAGATTGGGGCTTCAAGCACGGCAAAAGCAGCAGGAGCAGATGAACTCAAAAGAAGCAAAGCTCATGTTTTTATGCAAAGAGCCATAGTAATAAAAAAAGGGAAGAAAATACACAACGTGAAACAAGATTACAATTGAATAGCCATATTCTCCTAAGATTCCCCAACACGGGCCTTCCGTTCCAGAGATTTCACTCCGTAAAGGATTCACTGTGGCCATCCAAACTCCTGTCTTTCACAGTAGTTCCAACTGGATGTAGAAAGAACAGGGAGGCTGCAGCCCTGTTGCCCTGGTTCTCCTAAACTGCTCCACCAAGGGAGCCCAGAAGGAGATGGTCCCGACCCCTTGCAACAGCTCAGGGTGGCTGAAGCCGCTCGTTCAGCGTGGCCGGTGTGTAATCACGGGTAGGTTTGATGCACCCATGTTATCAATCGGAAGCTCACAAAATACAGAAAGGCAGCCTCCACGTACAGATTTCAGACCTGGAGCTCATCTTGCAGGAAACATTTCCCTCTTAGAGATTTAAACCCCCTTATCTCGCAATTTCCTTCCTTTTTCCCCGCGTTAAAGCTCCTCTCCTGCCCTGTGCTCCTGTGCCCTTTCCGCTCAGCCCCGCTGCCGCTCACCTCGGTGTAAGAGCTTTCTCCTCTGCAATCGCAGGAAATTGCCTCTCCACCATTGCTACTCTGAGGCGTTTCCAACTGCCTAATCTCTTATTACTCAAGTCTCCAATTGTTTACGTCCCTCCTCAATGTATGGATCCATTCAGCCCGACAAGGTAACCGAAGCAAACACAGGGAGGGGTGTAAAGCACGGAAGCGAGAGCTGAACAAACACGCCAGGACAGCCACCGCGCGCGCAGCCAAGTCCTGATCCACGCGACGTGCACGTATTTTTGCAGTTTAGGGTCTGAAAGTGGAAAGTCCTTGGGGCAGGAGCCTTCCCCTTGTCCCGCGCAGCATAGTGTCTAAGTTCTGCACGGCACAGAGATGTTTTCGGGCCGTATTATCTATCTAGGTCACCAACCCAACGGAAGCTTTTTCTGCTATTCGCGCACCAGTCTGCCAAAGAAAACAAACAGGCACAATTTTCCTCTAATATAAGTAAGCCTCTAACTCAAAAGTTAATTGATACTACTTTTCCTAAAGTTTCTGCCAAACACACTAACCAGTCTATAAATTAAAGAAGAATGGTTGTTTTAATCTTTCCATACCATTTAGCGCTCGAGAGAGCAGAAGAACATTAGCAAATCTCCTCCCAGAAACATTACAAAGGCTCGTCTCCTTTTCCTGCAATGCTTCTATATTTAATTACAAAACCAGATTCCTACAGATTAAATTCCTGTGCCCTCTGCATCCTTTCAAAGCAATATTTTATTAATCGTCACATTAAAGTCGTTTCTGAGCTAAGCATCGCTGCTCTGAGCTACTCAACAGCTGGCTGATTTTAAAAAGGAAAGGTTAACTCCTTCCCAAGCACAACTGCGTGTGGTCCCACGACCTCCGAAGGCTCCGTCCCTGCCAGAGGAGCTACTTCCAAGCCTCTCTCCCTCAAGGGACCCAGAACCCAACAGCACTTTAGTTTTAATAAATCCCCTCAACTCCTCTCCAGGTCAAGTCCTTAAAAACACCTAATTTAGGGGACCCTGAGGAAGGCAGGAATTAAAGGGAAATAAAGCAGCCACCAGTGCAACGAAGGTAACGCCAGGCAGAGGAGCGCTGGGTTATTCCCAGTTATTCCCGGTTATTCATTTACTGCAATAGCCAGGACAATTACCCAACTCCTTTTGTTTTTACGTATCTCTGCAGCGTAACTAACGCTGCGGAATGCGAGAGGTGAGAAACAAGCCCGGGCTCACCCCGGCAGCTTTGATTTCCCAGTGCGGTCAGACGGCTCCGGTTTTGCAGAGGCCGCGGCGGTGCCCACCACGCCCTGGGG